TTGTTACAGATATATTTTGACCTAAACCTAGGTATTCGGTTATTTTACATGTTTAAGGGGTTTAGATCGACTTTCGGGGGGAAAAGGCACCCTCATGCTTATAAATACGAGTATTTGGGGTGGCGTTTTTTAATCGACAGTCGATCTAAACCCATAAAACACTTCAAATATAGCGGTAACAAATTATCAGGTCCCTGTGCACTGTGGCAAATGAGCAGGCAATACACTCGCCGAATTGGTTTCTATTGTTTCGGCGCGGAAACTTTTCTGTAAATAGAACGAATTAGTTGTGTAAGATTATTGAATTTTGATATCACGACATTAAAACGCCATGCCGTATTGTACACGGGATCACGTAATAAGATTAAAATCACTGGAATTGAAGGACAATGCAGGGATCCGTTTTTCTATCGTATACGAAGCTCTTTGATTTCTATAGAAAAACAGGCAGGTAGTATTTAAGCTAGATGTACCATGAATATTAGTGCCGACACTCGGTCTATTAACGAACAGTTCTAGTTGTACGAATGACAAAGCAATCTGTAAATTGTGACAAAATCAATAATCATGTCATAATTGTTGTAACGGAACAAATATCGTTGGAAATCCTTCCGTCGTTCCTTTGATGTATTTGTATAGTTTGGTCGTATTAGTCAAAGTCCATCACCGGTATTACGTGCACTGGCTGTGTGGTATTAACATTCGTTACATCACAACGTGAGAAATCTATCACTGCAGATCGTGATTATGTTATATAGACCAAAATGTCACGGCTTTACATGATACACGTCACTTGGTAGATCAGGGAATTGTCATAGGCACCAGAGGATTCCAATGGTTAGCAGCTTTTGTTTTTAACCTGTAAGCACTTGTGTTTTCTCAGAAAAGACGCAACGAGATTTCCAATGAAAACTACGTCATTTTATGTCGATTATAACGAAACATATAATACCCATTTCCTGAAGTAAGAACATCACACGCCTAAATAACACAAGAAATAACTAGCCAGTGAGATTGCAGATGATTGCGCAAGAATAAATATGCAATGGGTGGCAGTAAGAAAAACAACACTTTGAAACATTCATATAGAGTGTGTTATTGGAGAAGACGGAAAGCATATCTGCGGAATAAGAACATGAAACGAGCAAAATTGAAAAAATACTGTATATATTGGCTGGTGATTAAGACCACATTTACTGTTTATATAGGCTGGTGATTAAGACCACATTTACTGTATATATAGGCTGGTGATTAAGACCGCATTTATTGTATATATTGGCTGGTGATTAAGACCACATTTACAGCATATATAGGCTGGTGATTAAGACCAAATTTACTGTATATATAGTCTGGTGATTAAGACAAGATGTACTGTTTATATAGGCTGGTGATTAAGACCACATATACTGTATATATTATCTGGTGATTAAGACCACATTAACTGTATATATAGGCTGGTGATTAAGACCACATTTACTGTATATATTAGCTGATGATTAAGACCACATTTACTGTATAAATAGGCTGGTGATTAAGACCAGATTTACTATATATATAGGCTGGTGATTATCATCAGGTATACTGTAAATATAGACTGTTGATTAAGACCACATTTACTGTATATATTAGCTGATGATTAAGACCACATTTACTGTATATATAGGCTGGTGATTAAGACCAGATTTACTGTATATATAGGCTGGTGATTAAGACCACATTTACTGTACATATAGGCTGATGATTCAGACCAGATTGACTGAATGACTGTATATATAGACTGGTGATTAAGAACAGATTGGCTGTATATATAGGCTGGGGATAACGACCAGATTTACTATATATATAGGCTGGGGATTAAGACAAGATTTACTGTATAAATTGGCTGGTGATTAAGACCACATTTACTGTATATATAGGCTGGGGATAACGACCACATTTACTATATATGTAGGCTGGTGATTAAGACAAGATTTACTGTATAAATTGGCTGGTGATTAAGACCACATTTACTGTATATATAGGCTGGGGATTAAGACCACATTTACTGAATATATAGGCTGGTGATTAAGACAAGATTTATTGTATAAATTGGCTGGTGATTAAGACCAGATTTACTGTATATACTGGCTTTTGATTAAAACATGATTTATTTTATATATTGGCTGGTGATTAAGACCAGATTTACTGTATATATAGGTTCGTGAATAAGACCCGGTTTACTGTATATATAGGCTGGTGATTAAGACAAGATTTACTGTATACATAGGCTGGTGATTAAGACAAGATTTACTGTATAAATTGGCTGGTGATTAAGACCACATTTACTATATATACTGGCTGTTGATTAAAACAAGATTTATTGTATATATTGGCTGGTGATTAAGACCAGATTTACTGTATATATTGGTTGATAATTAAAACCAGGTTTTCTGTATATATAGGCTGGTGATTAAGACCAGATTGGCTGTATATATTGGCTGGTGATTAAGACCAGATTTACTGTATATATAGGCTGGTGATTCAAACCAGATTGACTGTATATAAAGGCTGGTGATAAAGACCAGATTTACTGTATAAATAGGCTGGTGATTAAGACCAGATTTACTGTATATATAGGCTGGGGATTAAGACCACATTTACTGTACATATAGGCTGATGATTCAGACCAGATTGACTGAATGACTGTATATATAGACTGGTGATTAAGAACAGATTGGCTGTATATATAGGCTGGGGATAACGACCAGATTTACTATATATATAGGCTGGTGATTAAAACAAGATTTACTGTATAAATTGGCTGGTAATTAAGACCACATTTACTGTATAAATAGACTGGGGATTAAGACAAGATTTACTGTATAAATAGGCTGGTGATTAAGAGCAGATTTACTGTATATACTGGCTGTTGATTAAAACATGATTCATTGTATATATTGGCTGGTGATTAAGACCAGATTTACTGTATATATAGGTTGGTGATTAAGACCCGGTTTACTGTATATATAGGCTGGTGATTAAGACCAGATTGGCTGTATATATAGGCTGGTGATTAAGACCACATTTACTGTATATATAGGCTGGTGATTAAGACGATATTCACTGTATATATAGGCTGGTGATTAAGACCAGGTTTACGGTATATATAGGCTGGTGATTAAGACCACATTTACTGTATATATTGGCTGATGATTAAGACAGCATTAGCTGTATATATTGGCTGGTGATTAGGACCAGGTTTACTGTATATATAGACTCGTGATTAAGACCACATTTACTGTATATATTGGCTGGTGATTAAAACCACATTTACTGTATATATTGGCTGGTGTTTAAGACAATTTCTAATTTTTATATTGGCTGCTGATTAAAGAATTTAAAGAGTGGTTGAGTACTCAAAATCTACTGACATCAGCAGCGGGGTCCCAAAACGTCCTTGCGACAGTTGGTTGACAGTGATGATTAACTCACTGTCTGCAATGTTTGTCCATGCCCCTTCCGAGCCCTGGCATTGCATTCCTGGTCCTTCTCCTTTTGTACTTATTTCCCCTGTACCATTGTTTTTTTCAGTCTTGAACAGGTTGCTCCGACAATATTCACATGCTTGAGAGTATACTGTGCCTGCTCGACAGACGGGCTTGGATTCCTGTCGGTCTTATCTTCTCATCCCCTGAATCTCTTAACTTCATTGCCAGTGTGACCTTGAACTCCCCATCCCCCACCACTGATTACTGCGCCAGTTTTAGTGATGTTTGGCTGTAGAGCCCAATACTGGAGAAACTGGACAGGACTCCAAACCATCTTCGCAGGTACCTGCTGATGGATCTCTCAAATATTTGTCAATGTTGTCAAAGGAGTCTTTTATATCACCAGTAGACACGCGAGCCTCGAGTCTCGGCAGAAGTCAATGGGTGAAGATCCATGCCTTGAACTTTCCAGACATGCCCAACTTGTTGATCGCCATCATCAACTCAATTGCCTGCTTTTGTACGTTACCGACGCTGCTTGTGTCTTTTTAGTGATGGAACAAACCACTTTCCTAGGCACTTGATTGGCTTGTCTGCAATTGATGGAACTTCCTCTCCTTGTACCGTTGGGTCAGTTGTCCCTTCTTCAATATCATGCACCTCTTTTTCCTTGACAATGCACCCCAAAAGCAGACCAAATGTATCTTTCTTGGTCATGGGTGGTAGAAGTCACGGACAGCTCATCAAACGAGACGCCCATAGGCCTAAACGTTCATCTGACTACAAAGACTGAGCAGGGAGAATGGTAACTTTTCAACTTTCAATGAAATATTCTAAGAATTTGTTTTCCATGATGGTAGTTTTGGTCAGCAGTGGGTAACTATTTGTCAGTAAAATGATTTTTCAGACCATATTTGGTTGCAATATCCATGTAGGCATTAAGGAGGAATAGCAGTTTAAAGTAAATTTATAGCTAAGTTCCGCTTTCGAGGCACCGAAACATCCCCACCAATTTTTAGCTCAATGGCACCAGTACTAGTGGAACTGGATAAGTTTAAAAAGTGGTTTTTTTAAGATGGTGGCCATCCTGGATTTCAGACCAACCCGAAAATAACAACAATTGGTCAGACCATCTCAGGATAATTTCAGGCAAGTTTGACCTCAATCCCACTGGTGGAAGTTGAGAAGAGTTTAAAATGTGTTTTTCAAGATGGCTCCATGGCGGCCATCATGGATTTGCACCGACCCCAAAAATAGCAACACTTGGTCAAGACCATCTCAGGATCATTTGAGGCAAGGTTCAGGTCAATCCCACTTGTGGAACTTGAGAAGAAGTTTAAAATAGGTGTTGTTTAGGAAAACCATGATTGCGCAATCATGTTACAAAATGGCCACCATGGCTGCCATGTTGAAGTTTTGATGGGGCTGAAAAATAACAACACTTTGTCGGCTTCCTTTCCTTAACATCCCCACTAATTTTAGCTCAATGGCACTAGTGGAACTGGAGAAGAAGTTTAAAATGTGTTTTTTAAGATGGCGGCCATCTTGGATTTCGGAGAGACACGAAAAATAACAACACTTGGTCAGGACCATCTCAGGATCATTTCAGGCAAGTTTCAGCTCAATCCCACTGGTGGAACTTGAGATGAAGTTTAAAATGTTGAAAGTTTACGGACGACGACGGACGAAGCACGATGACTATTAGTCCCAATTATTCTGACATTTTATCGACTTTTTTCACATCGGTTTGTCGTCGATTAGCGTCAGAACTCCGGCCCTCTTAATATGCGGGAAATATGCAACCCGCCCCCAGAGCGCATTTCAAACTGTCACTTTCACACACATGTCGCACATGGATCGAAAGATCTATTCTTTATGCACTATGTGGTATCAATAACATGTTTCAAAGATCATAACGAAAAGTATTTTCCAACGTTTTCTATACCAACCCATGCATGTTTTTAATGGAAATTAGGCCATGAGCAATGTCACATGACTTGACGAGATCTCACGTTACCAAAGGTATTTCCCAACGTTATGACGTAGGCCGGCGAGATTTTACTCACGTGGCATTAGAAGGCGGGGCTATCAAAATACTAGAGTAAAACAGAGTAAGTTTGAAAAAATATGTTTTTGGTAATTGTATTGGTTGTTTGAGGCATGTTATGTATGTTCATCTTGTGCATAAAGAGTAGATCTTTCGATCCATGTGCGACATGTGTGTGAAAGTGACGATTTGTTTCTAAAATATATGTTTGAAGTTCGGGTCGCATATTTCCCGCATATTATAGAGGGCCGGAGTTCTGATGTTAATCGATGACAGACCGATGTGAAAAAAGTCGATAAAACGTCAGAATAATTCGGACTAGATGACTATAGGTCATGCCGACCCTTTGGGTCAGATGACCTAAAAAACTAAATTAGGTGGCTCGTAAATATCTGATCCTGTCCTGGGCCCTCTGGTTTCCCATCCTGTCACTTTGATGACAAGGGTACCGTTTAACACACACGGAGTATCTTTCACCCTGTTTATGAAACTGTCTCGTGAAGGGTTATCCCTATGACGAATAGAATGACAGGATCCATTTGCATACAATTTTCCTTAAATAAGAAGAGTTTTACTGTATTGTTTGCCTTAATTTAACAGATTTGTCACTGAACGAGGTGTCCAAGTACTTTTAGTCACAGGACACCAGTCGTCAATGGTAACAAAGGCCTACAGTTTGTAACATCGCAATCAGAGACAACTAAAATGATGTACATTAAGTAGTTTTTATTTGTATTATACATGTTATATTACATATAACAGATGTCATATTTACAAAACAAACATCAGCAGTTAAATGATGTAGTTTTATTATAACAAAGAATTACATTCAATTTGTGTGGTTACACTATGGTGATATGTCAGAACGTAACATAAAACTTTTGGCAGCTTAACAAAATGATAAAATACCATATTCCACCCATTCTATAATACACCTCCTCAACTGACATCCCAAAGTTCAGCGTTTCCCTGGGGGCCTGCACTCCCAGTCAGACCAAGGACTCCCTGGGGGCCTGCACTCCCAGCCAGACCAAGTACTCCCTGGGGGCCTGCACTCCCTGCCAGACCAAGTACTTCCTGGGGGCCTGCACTCCCAGCCAGATCAAGTGCTCCCTGGGGGCCTTCACTCCCAGCCAGACCAAGTCCTCCCGGGGGGCCTGCACGCCCAGCCAGACCAAGTACTCCCTGGGGGCCTGCACCCCCAGTCAGACCAAGTACTCCCTGGGGGCCTGCACGCCCAGCCAGACCAAGTACTCCCTGGGGGCCTGCACCCCCAGTCAGACCAAGTACTCCCTGGGGGCCTGCACGCCCAGCCAGACCAAGTACTCCCTGGGGGCCTGCACCCCCAGTCAGACCAAGTACTCCCTGGGGGCCTGCACTCCCAACCAGACCAAGTACTCCCTGGGGGCCTGCACTCCCTGTCAGACCAAGTACTTCCTGGGGGCCTGCACTCCCAGCCAGATCAAGTGCTCCCTGGGGGCCTTCACTCCCAGCCAGACCAAGTACTCCCTGGGGGCCTGCACCCCCAGTCAGACCAAGTACTCCCTGGGGGCCTGCACTCCCAGACAGACCAAGTACTCCCTGGGGGCCTGCACTCCCAACCAGACCAAGTACTCCCTGGGGGCCTGCACTCCCAACCAGACCAAGTACTCCCTGGGGGCCTGCACTCCCTGCCAGACCAAGTACTCCCTGGGGGCCTGCACTCCCAACCAGACCAAGTACTCCCTGGGGGCCTGCACTCCCAGACAGACCAAGTACTCCCTGGGGGCCTGCACTCCCAACCATACCAAGTACTCCCTGGGGGCCTGCACTCCCTGTCAGACCAAGTACTTCCTGGGGGCCTGCACTCCCAGCCAGATCAAGTGCTCCCTGGGGGCCTTCACTCCCAGCCAGACCAAGTACTCCCTGGGGGCCTGCACGCCCAGCCAGACCAAGTACTCCCTGGGGGCCTGCACCCCCAGCCAGACCAAGTACTCCCTGGGGGCCTGCCCTCCCAGCCAGACCAAGTACTCCCTGGGGGCCTGCACCCCCAGCCAGACCAAGTACTCCCTGGGGGCCTGCCCTCCCAGCCAGACCAAGTACTCCCTGGGGCCCTGCACTCCCAGCCAGACCAAGTACTCCCTGGCGGCCTGCACTCCCAGCCAGACCAAGTACTCCCTGGCGGCCTGCACTCCCAGCCAGACCAAGTACTCCCTGGGGCCTGCACTCCCAGTCAGACCAAGGACTCCCTGGGGGCCTGCACTCCCAGTCAGACCAAGTACTCCCTGGGGGCCTGCACGCCCAGCCAGACCAAGTACTCCCTGGGGGCCTGCACCCCCAGTCAGACCAAGTACTCCCTGGGGGCCTGCACTCCCAGACAGACCAAGTACTCCCTGGGGGCCTGCACTCCCAGACAGACCAAGTACTCCCTGGGGGCCTGCACTCCCAGCCAGACCAAGTACTAATCAACTTGGGAGGGAATTTAGTATTACCTTCGGCGTTGAATGCCAGCCCAATGATTGTTCACCCAAAAAGGCCAAGTACCCATTTGGAGGCCAGGAATTAATTTGGAAAGTTGAAGGTCTTAACTTAAGGCCATGTATCCGTCTTGAAAAATTCAATAAGTCTGAAGCCTGTCGGAGGTATTACTACCAGGGGTAAGATGTTTGTCCCAGCACTATCCACCTCGTTCCACACACACATCATTCTCAAACCTATAAATAGTCCCAGGGAAATCAACAAGGGATGCCAGGAGGAAAATGGTTGTGTTTACTCTTGAAACGGTAATTGTGTTGATATTAATTTGATTGTTTAGTTGGTTAAACAAACCTACACATTTGTTTGTTACTTGAACAAGTATGGTCATGGATAAATACAAATAAAATATTTCTGTGAGGAAACCACGTATAGGAGTGCTGAACATACAGATTTGTGACATATTTCCGCCTACAAACGATACATAAAAGCAGATCACTGGACTTTCTTTTCTAATAATTTATTCCTGATAATTTTTCAATGAAATTGTTTTATATTCCCTAATCTATTTCACTTTAATATCATAGCGATCTTATCCATCATAAAGCCGATGTGATCACCTGTCACCAAGGGTAGCTGACACGACATCAGCCAAGTAATTATAATCTTTTTCTCCTTAGATATATATATGATAGATAATTTCATTTGGTAAGAAGAAACCCATGTAATGATGAATTTAAACTATCTGAACTTAGTAAACATATCCATTAATAATTCCAACAGTACATCATGAAATTTCTAACTAGTCACATTAAATACGGCTAAATTGGTTTATAATTGTATACAAAAGTGTACTTATGAATGATTACTTTGGACCTAAATGTTACCATAAAATAATGGACTGGTCCATATTTGGTCAGTTTTCTTTCTCCATTTATGCTCTATAAGTAAGGTGTACATCAGTTGGGTGGAAAATTCTACAAAACACAAAGTAGCCACACCTACACATGGAGAACTAGGTGTCACGAAGTAGCCACACCTACACATGGAGAACTAGGTGACAAGGAGTAGCCACACCCACACATGGAGAACTAGGTGTCACGAAGTAGCCACACCTACACATGGAGAACTAGGTGTCACGAAGTAGCCACACCTACCCATGGAGAACTAGGTGTCACGAAGTAGCCACACCTACACATGGAGAACTAGATGTAATGAAGTAGCCACACCCACACATGGAGAACTAGGTGTAATGAAGTAGCCACACCCACACATGGAGAACTAGGTGTCACGAAGTAGCTAGTCACACCCACACACAAGCAAATAAACCAATCTTAATCTGAATACACATACAGTTTACCACCAAAACATCTGATATCATTGTCTATAAAAATAATATATATATCAAACTTCATGTGTTTTGTCATAATTTGTTCACAAAATTTTGCCACTTTTCAACACCATATCGACTACATGAGTCACATACAATTGTCACAAAATGCCATAAATTAGGTCTCGACACACTATCACCTCATCCAATTATCTCAACGAAGGATTTTTACAAAGCATAGCTGTTTCGCATAATCTATAAATGTATTGTGAAGGCCATGCAGAACTATTTTGAGATTTAAAGGACAAGATAGAATGCCCGGTTTTCCCATACAAGCATCAAATTCCGTTTAATTTCACGTTTGATAAACATTCCAAACAGAATAAATCATGATTTTATGAATATATCAAGATGGGACTACAAATTTTGATATTGAACATACAGCATAATACTAATTGGTGAAATACACAAATTAAGTTGGTCATTCAATTAAATATTTAGTATTTTGTTTCCTTGGATGATCTATAAGATGTCTACTATATTAAAGTTGTAATCATAAAACATGTAAATGAAATACTACCCATATTGACATTCCAAATAAAACAGCTGTTGTAAGAAAATAATTGGTACAAGGACCAATTAATCTTGTTTTCCACGTGTTCTTCTTTTAGTAGGAACCTCATGAATCATTAAAACACATTATTTTACTGGTGTCCTATAGATCTCTTGGGACCATAGAGCTGATTTCATTGAAAACAACACAAAAAGAGTTCGACATAAATATAGCTGACGAGGAAGCAAGCCTTGCTATTTGTAAGCTAGCTCACCTTCAGACGATCACTTTGACTTCAAAAGGCCACCAGGTCACGGGGATAATTGGGTTAAACTACAGTACAAGATGAATTACAAAAAAGCATTGAGTGACAATATAAATAAGGAAACCAATGTCATACGAAAACATATGCATATTTCTAGATATAATAAGCTAAATCGCAAAAAAATATATATACATATATATATGTTAGAAATGAATTGAAAAAAAGCAATAGTACAAATTTTCCCCAATCTTTATACGACAGCTGTACGAGACATGCAAAAAGGATTTGTACAGTAATTTGCACTATTTCTACACCCTAAAATCACAGATTTCATTCTCTCTATAACCGGTACAAAACTATAGGCACAAGACCTGAACGTCACATTAAATCAGTATTTTCTTTCTCACGTACACACAGAATGATTTATGAGATTTAAGAATTTATTGTTTGCAATTGCGAGATGGAGTATTTGGAGTAACGAATTTCGGTACATTTTGACCTGGTTATTTCAGATTTAAAGTGTTTAGAAAAACTTCAAAACATTTTAATGTTTAGGGATCATATTTTCACATAAACCAAGAGGATAATCTTTTTCTGAATATAGGTGACCATATGGTAATTAAGCTATATAAACACAGTTCCATTAATGTACACATATGTAAAAACATACATATGAAAATGCATATGTAATTTGTGTAAAAAATTAACTGCTGTATTATCAGTCTTTAGAAATACAGCATTACAGATCTCCCTTATCGCTGCATGCTACAGACAAGCTAGCATTTCAGATAGTGAACTACTGGTGGAATGTTTCATTCTTGCACGATTCCATGTTTTATTTTTACTGACCAATACCAAATTTGCAAGGAAAATCGGCTAATTTTTCTTTTTTCCCCAATAAATTGAAAATAAAAGTTATTACTTAGTGTGTCAATTTTGAGACATGAAATCTTATATCCATCTTGAATTCTTATAGAACTTTAAACATCTGACAATATTATGCCATATTCATGAAAATTGAAGTAAAAAGTTCAGACGTAAGGGAGACAAATTGGTTTGTTCTCTTTACATCTATAGCATGTGAAACAGTAATGTAACAGACACATGCTAATCTAAAAGTTCCAAGTACATCTACAGCATATGTGAAAAAAGAAAATCTGTCCGCGCCAGTTTTCAAATACTTGAAATAGTTCCACAGTGGAATGCAGCCTTTCACAGTCTAGAATCTCATCATTGGGTACATAGACCATGTATACACATACATTGCTATTACGGACAAAAACAATAACTGACATTATACATCACGGTATAGGAAGGCAATGTGGTACTCTTCTCTCCTGTCCACTGCAAACAGTGAAAATAATACATATCCTAATGTTAAGGAGACATGTAGGCAGACTGCAGTAGGCACGGACTGTAGCAGACAGGTGGTTTGAATGATTAAATCTCTTATTGTCCTACACACAGCTCGTCCCAGAAACCCTTGATTCTTGCACTATGGTGTTTGCTATACGGTTGTGGATCTCAAATTGTTCAGTTTGTCTAGAACTTCCTTGAATGTTGGTCGATTGGCGCCAACAAGCTCCCAAGAGCTGAGCATGATTGTGTAGATTTCCTTAGGACAGCCTTCTGGGGCCTCCATCCTGTATCCACGCTCCACGTGGGCCACCACGTCTGCTAACGGCTGTAACACATACACAAACACATCTTAACAAGCTACATACAGACATCAATATCAATCAAATATGTGTTGTAGTTTGGTTGCAATGTTCACTCATATTGATAGGCTGCTTCACTGAATTTTCATCATTTTATTTTTATTACCAGTACAATTTTTGTAAAGGTGAAAATAATTAACTATTTTCACTATGTCTTCCTTTTTTCTAGTTCTTCATTTTTTCTTATTCCGTCTTTTCGTATTGCAGAGTTATCTGCTCTTGTGAGCAGGTATTGATTGTTACGCCATTAGTTTGTGTGAGAAAATTAAGTCGTTTTCTCAAAAATGTATGACGTTACTCTCACAAACAAATAACGAAACAATCTATACCTGCTCACTCACAAGAGCAGATAACTCTGCAATGCGAAAAGACGGAATTGGTACATATGTAACACAAGTATTTACAATTCTAGGACAATAAGGTACTCTGTCCAGTGACACCAATACTTACAATTCTAGGATATGGTACTCTTCCAAAAGAATAGATCTCCCATATTAATACACCAAAACTCCACATATCAGATTTACTGGAAAAATCCTGTACACAAAGGAATGGCAAAATCAGGACCAAAGCATACACACCAATCTACACACTTTTTGTCTTCATAATGAAAAGTCAACTTAATTTTTTTTGACTACCAGGGCAGGTCATCAAACTGGCTCCTACAATTACCCCCATAAAGAGACCACTTGTGTTAAGTGACCATTTTTAATGCTCCAAATTGTAGTGATTTCAATTTGAATTGATCCTGTTTTAAAAAACCACCTGCATAAAAAGACCACTTTTTTGTATTCCAGAGAGTGGTCGCTTGATAATGGTGTGACTTCTTTAAACATTTAGAAAATGCAGGGCCTAATATCAGTTATATTATGAGGTGCATATTCAAAGTTATCACTCCCTATATTTCTGCAAGTGAATATAATTACATCAAGATTTTTGCACTATTTTTAATGAACAGAATCCGTACAGGAAATAATCAACGAACAAATCATTCTGTTTTTGTTTTTTAGAAATAAAACAATGCTGAAAAAAGAAAAAAAATATATATGAAAATAACAAATACAAATTTGAAGTTCTGCTATGGTTTAATATGTAACATATTTAATATTTAGGAAAGTCTACATGTATGTAAGTGACACAAGCCTTGCTCTCCATGTCAGTGGATATTCTCATAAATCTTTTTGTACAACAAGAGGCCCATGGGCCTTAACGGTCACCTGAGTCCTTCAGTATTTATTTTTGTTGTTGAAATATGTACCAATTTGAGTAAAAAATAGTTAAGTATAATGTTAACTTAACTTTGTCAGGACCATGAGCTGATCATTCCTAGACCGATTTTCAGTGAGATCAGCCTATTAGAACTTGTTTTTAAGTTTGAAATAGTTATTTACAAAATAGCGGCCATGGCAGCCAAAGTTTCAGTTCAATCGGCCAAGTAGAACTTTACTTTAAGTTTGAAATAGTTTTTCAAAATGGCGGCTGTGGCGGCCATATTGGATTTCTGATCGACCCGAAAAATAACAACACTTTGTCAGGACCATGAGGCGATCATTCCTACCAACTTTCAGTTCAATCGGCCCAGCAGAACTTGACTTTAAGTTTGAAATGTAAAATGTAAACGGACGACGGACGAAAATGGATAGCAATAGGTCACTTGAGCTAAAGCTCAGGTGACCTAAAAAAAAGTTAAATCCATAACTACAGATATAGACTAGGCTTGCTTACATTGTCTCTCAGAGCTTCAGGTGCCGTCCACTTAATTGGAAACTTTCCCCCTTCTTGTGAGTAATCTCCATGCTTGGCCAGACCAAAGTCTGATACCTATATAAAACAGAAAATAGGTAAAATGTCACAGATAGGCAAATTATCAAATTATCCAACAAAACAATTTCAAAACAAACTGTTTGTATAGAAACCCTTTCTGAATGTTTGTGTTTGTGTGGAAAAAACATTTCTGAACATTTGTTTGAAAAACATGTTTTCTGAATGAGTTACTTTTCAATGTTTGTGAAGAAAAGTTGTTTTTAAATGTTCATGGGGAAAAAAATTGCTTTCTAAATATCTCTCTAAGTCATTTTATAATCCATTATCTGGAAAAGCTTAGCTATGAATGCTTTGGTGTAAACTCATGTTACCAAACACTACTCATAAAAGAATGAAAAGTATCCAAAGTAGTCTGAAGTCTGACTGTCGTTTAGACTGAGGTTATCCACAGTGAGTAAATACATGGTAATGTTATTTGTCAGGTTTTACTTCAGCGACTTTGAACATTCCCGTGACATGAAAGCATCATCTGTGTAAGTTGATGTAACCATTTTGTTGCTTTTTTAGTTTGGCACTTTTCCTAGCTCTACTGATATTATGTTGATGATTAACATACAGCACTTGTATATCGTTTCTAATTCTTAAAGTACAATCATTTATTTGAATGATAGTGTTCGTTCTTGAGGATGTCAATAAATCGATCATATCAATAAATCCTGGAACACACACAAAAAGTCAGCCAATCCTTTTTATCAAATAACTGCAGAAACTGAAGAATATAATGCTAAAATAGGCCCCACTGTACATTATTCAAATTCTAAATCTGATGCACAATGTGCATGTAGTGTATATTCATCTTCACCTTAATCAAAGATGAAATAAAGGATTTCAGTATCTGTTAGAAGTTATCCACCTAACCGGCCCGGGCCTCTGAGGGATGCTCCTCATCGTACCAGTCAAAGACCTTCACCTACCTTAGCTGTATTGCTTTCGTTCACCAACACATTCCTGGCAGCTAAATCTCTGTGTACTAGGTTCTTACTCTCTAAATACTGCATAGCTGAACAGGTGTCTCTGTAAGTAAAGGGAGGTAACACATCATCACAGCAATTCAAAGTTGCATCTTCATAGGTAAGGGGAGATAACACTAGTAAAGCAGTTTAGTAAGGGCAATGTATAACACTAGAATATGCAGATTTTCAGTAATTTTTAATTTGGCCATATTATAAATTGACAATGCTTTTATTCTTGAAGAACTTTTCCTGACTACTGTACTATGTTTTTGAAAAAATTTGAGTGTTATTTGCTGACTCAATATATCAATATAGACCATACATATACTTACGTGGTAAAGTCAATTTGGTCCTTCTTTGTAATTACACTTCTGCCACGAGACCGTAGGTATTCCACTAGATTCCCCTTTCCCATAAATTCTGTTACAATCAAAATATTTTCTCCTAAAACAACTCCAATCAACTGGACCAGGTTTGGATGTCGTAGTGATCTGCAAAATAAAAACGTAGAAAATATATTCCTCACCATCGCCATGAGTACATCACATGACTGAGGGTACTAGCACTATCATGTTGTTTCTGACATGTATAAGAGGATGTTCTTAGTTTCTTGATTAATAACAATTATTTTTCACAAGTGGGGTCACAAAAAAAAGAAAACAAAAAATACTCAACCCATGAGTGAAATAAAACTTACCATTCATCCAGAAGTTAAGAATATTTTATTTATAAGGTTTTTCTATTTATAGTCTGGGTTTCTGTGAACGGATTAGTCCATTTCACACCGAAAAATAGTGAGGTAAGGAGTGCTATATTGCAATGTCTAAGTAAGAAAATGTCAAGGATATGGTAGCTTCACAATTGACGATGCTATATAGATATAAATATAAACTTTATTTATTTTACAACAATTATGAAACAAGTTATTTCAACCTATATTATTTGCTTTTGTTGGCCCGGATATAAGAGCGAGGGGGGTCTTAGTGTGGGAGGAAACTGGAGTACCCGGAGAAAACCCACATGGTCAGGCAGGTGACCCTAACCTTTTCACGTCAAATCGGGGAATCGAACCCCTGCCGCCTTGGTGAAAGGCAAGTGCGCTATCCACTGCACCACCTGATGATGCTATTGTTTACACTAAACCTGTCTCTGTAATTTATCGGTTCAATGAGAAAATAACAAACAATATAATTTTCATTTTCTCTGTTTAACCTTATACATAGCTTCCTAAGGCAGATGCTTATGCTGTGACTTAACCTAAGAAGGCCAATATCCATGTCATAACTGAAACTTCTTCAAAGAAAGAAGAAGGAAGAAGGACGCAGATACTTACGTCATTACAGACGCTTCCTTTAAGAAAGCCTGTGCAGCATTGTCCTGTTTCTTGAGCTGTTTTATTGCTACCTGTTGGTGTTTGTATTCACCCTTACACACATCTGAAATCACATGTTAGAGTAGCTGTAGTAAACCCTTACACCCATCTGAAATCACACGTTAGAGTAGTTGTAAGGAAACCCTTACACACATCTGAAATCACACGGTATAGAAGCTGTAGTTAACCCTTCCACACATCTGAAATCACACGTTAGAGTAGCTGTAGTAAACCCTTTCACATATCTTAAATCACACGTTAGAGTAGCTGTAGTAAACCCTTTCACATATCTTAAATCACACGTTAGAGTAGCTGTAGTAAACCCTTACACACAACTGAAATCACACGTTAGAGTAGCTGTAGTAAACCCTTTCACATATCTTAAATCACACGTTAGAGTAGCTGTAGTAAACCCTTTCACATATCTTAAATCACACGTTAGAGTAGCTGTAGTAAACCCTTTCACATATCTTAAATCACACGTTAGAGTAGCTGTAGTAAACACTTACACACATCTGAAATCACATGTTAGAGTAGCTGTAGTAAACCCTTACACAGATCTGAAATCACACGTTAGAGTAGCTGTAGTAACCCCTTACACACATCTGAAATCACATGTTAGAGTAGCGGTAGTAAACCCTTACACACATCTGAAATCACACGTTAGAGTAGCTGTCGTAAACCCTTACACACATCTGAAATCACACGGTATAGAAGCTGTAGTTAACCCTTCCACACATCTGAAATCACACGTTAGAGTAGCTGTAGTAAACCCTTACACACATCTGGAATCACACGTTAGAGTAGTTGTAAGTAAACCCTTACACACATCTGTAATCACATGTTAGAGTAGCTGTAGTAAACCCTTACACCCATCTGAAATCACACGTTAGAGTAGTTGTGAGTAAACCCTTACACACATCTGAAATCACACATTAGAGTAGCTGTAGTAAACCCTTACACACAACTGAAATCACACGTTAGAGTAGCTGTAGTAAACCCTTACACACATCTGGAATCACACGTTAGAGTAGTTGTAAGTAAACCCTTACACACATCTGTAATCACATGTTAGAGTAGCTGTAGTAAACCCTTACACACAACTGAAATCACACGTTAGAGTAGCTGTAGTAAACCCTTTCACATATCTTAAATCACACGTTAGAGTAGCTGTAGTAAACCCTTTCACATATCTGAAATCACACGTTAGAGTAGCTGTAGTAAACCCTTTCACATATCTTAAATCACACGTTAGAGTAGCTGTAGTAAACCCTTACACCCATCTGAAATCACACGTTAGAGTAGTTGTAAGTAAACCCTTACACACATCGGAAATCACATGTTAGAGTAGCTGTAGTAAACAATTACACAGATCACCCATATAAAGTACTTTAGTATAATACACGTATGAAATCACCTAAAAAATAGCTGTAGTTCACTGTCACACAGATCAGAAATACATATAAAGTAGTAAAATTTACATTGCATGAACATGTTTCCAACCATGTGTCATGACTTACATTACAAAAATCAAGCGAATTAGTTGTCGAATCTTCTATGATATTGCTTTTCAGTGCAGCGGCCAGTATTGACAGCTTTCAAGCATGTGTAATATTCTTCATTTTGCCCTCTTGTAATCATAAATACCATTATAGTTCATATCGCATAGTTACGAAAATGTGGATAAGTACGTACACACATTCAACGAAACATTAAAGGCATGACACATGGTTTGAAACATGTAAATGCAATGTAAATTTTACATTTCCATATACGTGTATGCGCAATCTTAAGTTGACAATGCGCGCAAACAACAAGTCTCCGAAAAAGATACAATGTTGTACACTGCTTCTGAAATCAAGGACGACAACGACCTCAAACGTTCTATCGACCAATCTATGAGCCAGATGCAGTGAGTGACACGCTGAAACAATCGTTCGGTTTGTGGGCGTGTTCTTTTTGAACACGGCTTGTTGACGCCATGACGATTTTGATTGTAAAGCAACATAAAAAGTACATAAAGTAGCAGTATTTCACCCGTACACACATCTTAAAATCTTGATTAAAGCAGCTGTATTACATATTTGTCAAATAGCATATTAATAAGCACTAGGGTTTTCTTATATAAGGATTTTCAAAAACAATCGTGATACCTCCAAATTCACCCTTCCCTATGGACTCTCCTACTTCAAGGTCTCGTTCGTGAATTACCCAGCCACCACTCTCGAAGTCCTGGACGGACACCATGGAAAAACTAGAGCCTTTCTTCTGCAGGGGACGTATCAGCCGGATACACAGACCGTCAGCATCCTTAGAGTAATGCTGAAGAATGGGACACAGTATTAACCTTAGGTCTGATGCAAATATCTTTGACAATGATAATCCATGAGGTTCTAGTACATGGTTTGATTAGAAAGCAAAATAATTTAAAATCTGAGTAAAGAAAATCTTGAAAATTATAGATTGTATTGTAAGAGATATTAAGAAGCTGGTTAATTTAACACATTATTTTCTTACTAATTCTAATCTACTGAGTTAGAAGACATTTTAAGTTTGAAAGAATTAAAGCTGTTTTTAACAAAAATAATGACAATGACATTAAAAATACAATCTATATAATTTACAATATTTAATGACACAGAAAAAGAATTGCCATATCAAATCTGGTGGATTACATGACATATCGTCCAAGCTGATAAACTGTGAACTTTTGTTTATATATAAACAACAACTATAAGCAATTTAGTGATGACACGTAACGGACACAAAGACAAAGTTGTGAAGCACTACCCATAACCAGAACTGTGGCCCCATATACATACTCGCACTGCCTCTAACATGCACATTACACCCCGCCAACGATACTATCTACTCATGTACCTTAGTGCTATACACCTGTTTACTATTTTTTCTCTCCCTTTTCTCAGTGTCCTTAGTTTTTGATAGCAAGGTGTGTTTGATGCTGAATCGGTTTTTCCTGTTTACCTTATCAATTCAATTTCACAGCTTTTAGCTTACCGTGATAGGGTGACTTTTAATTAGAAATTACAGAACTGTTTCTTTTACGTTACTCTTGAAGTAACTGAGTTGAAACTGAATTCAAATTAACTAATTAACATAACTTTGGTTCATTAATTAAAAATATCAAAGAATTCTTATCTCGTTTGATAATTTCCCTCTACAGAAAAGTCAAAAACTTATAAAATTGATGAGGTTGTTTGAAGGGGGATTTTACATATAAAATACGTCAGCGATATCAGTATACATAGATGAGGCCAGCTAAAGGACATATATCTATTCACTAACACATACAGAGGAGGCTTTTTAAAGGGAAACACATCCCATGATCTGATCACAAAATAGAGGAGGCCACTCAAGGAGAAACATATATTGGTACAGAGGACATTTAAGTAGCAATATATCTAGGCACAAAACAGAGGAGGCCACTTCAGGAAATACAAATGGGTACAACAATAGAGGCCAGTTAAGGGGTAATACATATTTGTATCAAAATATAGGCCACTTATTTAGGGTAAATTACATTTGGGTACCAAAATCAAAGTGATCATTTAAAGGGAACTATATCTGGATACCAAATGGAGGATGCCACTTTTGGGGGGAGATTTACATCTGCATATCAAAATAAAGGGGCCATGGAATGGAGTTACATCCCGACAGCAGCACTGTGGAGGCCATTTGAGGGTGAAAATATAGGGGTAGCAAAAAAGAGTACGCTACGTAAGGGAATACATATAGGTATAAAAGTAAAGGATGCCATTTAACGGGGAAATACATCTCGACAACTAGAAAAAGTTTATGAAACATACATAGGCCCCTGCTCCCTACTTGATGGAAATGGAGGTAAAACCAAATTAAGTGAAGCAAACTACCAGCAGATCACAATGACCTAAGATGTATATATTGTGTAGTACTCCTGGAGATGTATTGAGATATATAGGAAGTTTGAACTTTGATGACTACTGGACTATTACAATAGAAACGGTGCAAAACCCAAAGTCTAGTCCTTACCCACATACACTGTATTCAGTTTTATGATAGTTGGATTTCCAGAATTAGAGTTAGGGAGCTAAATGCAAAATCAAACCAGAATGTCGTACAAACAGATGGACTGAAGGAAAAGGCAAATGATTAATACCCTTCCACTATGCGACAGAGGCCAAAAACAAAGGAGGCCATTTAAAGGTATACATATCTGGACAGTAAAACAGAGGAGGCCATTTAAAGGTATACATATCTGGACAGTAAAACACGGGAGGCTATCTAAGGGGCATCACCACACATAAGGCTAGCTAAGACTATGGCAGCTTCAAGACATCTAGAGACGGAGCTATCTTAGACGCATTCAGATTGTGTTAGTATCTAACTATATATATGATAAACAAACCTACTCTAAATCATACAATGTCAATATTCATGAACTAAATCATTAATCTTCTACTAATAGTATAGATATACATCATGATTCCATTCCTGGTTTACGAAATGTGAATCAAACTGATACGTATTCAACTTGGATATCATTTTGTAAACTTAACACGGCAATGAAACTTTAAAAAATTTGACATTAATTACAAAATAATAAATTGTAATTAGTCATAAATCAATCATGTAACATACGGAAATGTAGAAGTGCTTTATGATGCAATGTTTGCCTAAAAATATACATATATATATATATTTAGACACAATTATGTGACATCACTTAAGCACAATTGACAACTAAATTCTAGGAAAACTAATGCAAGAGTAACATTTAAAAAATACATTAAAGAAAAGTTGTTGTTTTTTAAATTTTCTGGGGAAAATCCTATACACCAATATACACATATTTTTTTTTATCTACAGCACAAAAACATGTTGATGGAAAGGTCCAAGTAAACCTGAACATGTTAAGTACAGTAGGATGTTTAATAGCAAAACACATAGTAAGAATGAAGATGGTATATGTACCTCCACAAGTTGTGTAAGATTTTCAAAATACGATTCTTCATCTATGGTCATCTTGTTATGACTGTAAATTATGCGATAATGTTCCACTTTGGACTTATGACACACACTAAGTGTGAAATCGCCTGGGTAATTCACACTCTCGCGCACAAGAAATAGTCCGTCTTCAGGAGGCACAAGTAATTCCTCCGCCTTTTCTCGTTTTATTTTCCCGTGGAACCATCTACAAAGAACAAAATAGGATCATGCAACATGCATTTCCATAACAACGAATGCAACATAAGACATGGATACTATAGCAGCTATAAAAGATACGTGACTGCAACGGAGAAATATCGTGTGAACATCTATAGTGTTAGTGCAATGGCAGTATTCCTACAGGAACCGAGTTCAACATTTACTCTACACAAGCCTTGTACACTTACCAGCTACACAACCCATATTCTCGATATTGCTATATTAATATTGGGGACCAATATTCTACAATAATGTCATATTGAGCTGAACTGAAACAATTGTCTTTTCCATATAAAATAGTATCTTTGAGAAAAAAATACACCAAAATGGTAGTTGAAAGGTATTATTTATTTCTGATGAAAATTTTGTAAATATAAGTTTTATGGTAAGGTAATTTTTAAAATCGAATGCTCCTTTACCTGAAATATATACATCTTGATGATGCCTGTGATTATGTTGAGGACAATAAGCTTTACCCTAGATGGATGTTGGAGGAGTTATACAAATGAATGGGTATTTAAAGTTGAACTCAGCATCTCTGTAGATACTGTACGAATCACCTGTTTGGATACAGCAATGTCAGTCAAAAGGCTTTGGATATCACAAATGTCCACCTTAAAATGTGTGCCCCACTGCAGTAAGACATTTGACATCACTGATACACACGTATAACCAAATCAACGATTGTTTGTAATATGTTTGTGTAATGGTTCATAAGTTACAGTTTTGACTTCGGGAAAGGTTTCCTTCCCCCATTTTATTCTGTAAAACCCTGGGTTAGTGTGATATTGAAACCCCTGTTAACTGACATGCTAAAAGTGATTTTACGTATATTTCATTGTACTCGTACTGAAAACATAAAATGGCTGCTTTGTTAATCTGACAAATTCTTGTACATAATCCCTTGTAAGCAATTGATAAAAAAATAATAATTTCAATCTGATTTAATTTGGTTTCCAATTACCTTCACAAACTAATACCTTTGTTTTACTGTTCCGTCTTGTTACTGATTAGCCTAAATATAACACACAATAACACAGAATTGTGTACATTAATTTACCTTTTATAATACAAATCAGCCATTTGTATTTCACATATTCAAGTGTACCAGCATACATAATATGGACTTTAAGTACTAGACTACAATACCAAACACTATGGGAATGCTTGTCAGCAGTACAGGGTTCCCAGGTCAAGCTCATTACGTTGTACTTATTTTTAATTTGTCAATGTTTTTCACTTCATTTGTGTAATTCAGATTTTAATCTAGATCAAAATTAAGACAAAGGTTTGAATTCCAAGTGATCAGTGTATTTTTCCTAATTTTGTTTTCTATTTTAATTATGGAATTCAAATTTTAATGCAGACCAAAATTAAGACAAACATTTGGTGAACTCATTCACCCCTGAAATTTCATAATGAACTATTCTAACCTTTGAAATGGAAGAGTTCAAATGTGTCTTCAGGAGTGAATGAGTTAATCAGTGAAAAGATAAGAGCTTAACCTGAGATATGACAACAGGTTGTGAGAACCAAACAGGATTTGAAAATCATTCGTCAGTTTTTATATTTACTACATAACGATAATTAATTTAATTAGATTCTCTATTGCTGTTTGGTCCTCACATAGTTTCAAAATTAAAACTGTATAAAATGCAGAAAAAAGAAATTACTGAGGATTCCTCTTGGTAGTCTTAAAATATTTGAAAATGATTATTATAAACCAATCAAGACAAATTTGTTTACTTTTCCGAATTTTAAAATAGAACTACAGAACCTCAGTAATTTTTTCTTTCCTTTAATAAATATCCGATATACAAGGTCAAGGTTGGCATAACAGCAGCAAGCAGTGGCTATAGGTCGTCCACATAGCAACCAATGCAACAATCACAGAAGAGGGCAGCACTGAAGGGAGGTAACCAGTGTTTGTTCTGGGACATACCTCAACCAGTTCAAACAAGTTATCAAAACAACAGTCACCGCCATCCACTTCCAGCTTGTTGTTGTGGGCCAAAACACGGTAATGATCGACTTTGTTATCAAATGAAACTGAAAGTGTAAAATCGCCACGGTAATGGACACTGTCTCGCACAAGAAACACGCCATCTTCCATGTCCTGTAAGAGATTCTCGGCTTGCTCACGAGAGATACTGCCGTGGAACCAGCTGTAACGGTAGCAACAACACCACAATATTTTAGTGAGGGAAGTATTCCGTCTTTGCGTATTGCAGAGTTATCTTCTCTTGTGATCAGGTATTGATTGTTACGTCATTGGTTTGTGCGAGAAAATTACGTCGTTTTCTCAAAAAATGATGACGTTACTCTCACAAACAAATGACGTAACAATCAATACCTGCTCATAAGAGAAGATAACCCTGCAATACGCAAAGACGGAATAGCTGACAGTCCAATAACTCAGACTGGTAGAAATTAAAGTCAAAAAGTGTTAGTGCTGGAGATAGAGTAGACTCACTCTTGAGTTGTTCATGTAGATATTAGTAAGGATATGTATATAGTTATAAAGGGAAAATACAAATACCAAGTATGTCTGGATTTTATATAATCAAATATATGTACTGTGTGTTTCATAGAGAACATTACACAAGGGTTGTTGATAGCCTGGTCAAGTTCTCCAAATACATACACATAAAGGTAGCTGACAGTCAAAACAGTGCTATTGTAAAACCAATGTATAAATAGACCAGAGTCAATAGTAAGCTAGTTGAATTCCCGAGAGTTTCCATGCGTCACAAGAGGGTGCTGGCAGCATTTGTTTGAGGCTCAAGCAGAGGAAGCAAAGTATGCAAGGCACCGTTTATAGATCATTCTTATTACCTTGTATGTTTTTAAATACCATTTTTATTAAAAAACAATTGTTTCTTTTTTGGCATCTTCATGATTGCACTACATTATTTCATTGATATATCCAAAATAGAAAACAGAGGTTTATTAAATAAAGCAAACAAAAGCTTTGACTGATCAAAAGATTATTATTGGTAGTTGAAAATTTCCTCTCGACATCAGTGTATTTTTTGACTGAGCTTCAACTGGTCAAGATATTATGTATTATCATGACAGCTACTTAGCCCAATAACTCACGGCATTGCATGTAGGGGCACCTCTCTCCGTCGCTGGACATAGGTCGCGGGCACCATTCCCTCGCGACCAGAACCATTGCGTCCCTTGTACCAGTTAGTATCCTTCAGGTGAGAAAACAAGGGGACACAATTAAATTGTGTGTACAAATACTGAAATATACATTTGTGGTTGTTTATGATCAGAGGGCTTTTCTGGGTGAATTGTAAAAGACCCGTCGTCAAACAGGAGAATTCATCAACTTATCATCTGTCAATTCAGAAAAACTATTGACAAGTTTGCTTGATGTGTCAATTAAATCAACATTGGTTCACCACCTCCTTTTTGTTCATTCATATTCAAAGAGCCAGTTTTATGGCCTTCTTAAGGCCGTTTCTTTAAAAAAGATCATCTTGAAAAACTTTAACACTTGCATTTATCAAATATTTTTTTCAATTTAGATGGAAGATATTGCATCGTCATCTGAACACAAGATGAAAAATTTTAACATTTTTTCTTCTTCACGAAATGAGGAAATTGCAATGACATTTAAAAACAACAGCACTTTTTTCTTTTGGTAATTGGGCCAAATTTCGGCCGAATATGGCCCCAGATAAGACCAAGGATCAATATCAGTGACAACATGTAAACATGTATAATATATATCAGAGTTTAGAGACAGTGTAGTGAATCTAGTCTGAGTAAAGTTTGGCAAATATAGAAATCTATATTACTGTTATACATCCACTTATAAGTAATTAATCAACTAAGTAAAGAGATCAACATATAACTAAGGGATAAGATGACCATGGGTATTAATAAGCAGCTCCGAGCTGTTTGATACAGCTTTAAAGCCCTAACTCAAACAGTATACGATACCATGTGATATAAATTTCAATATCAGTCAAGTAAATATTGTTTTATTTATTACAGAGGAAATGTAAGCCTTGACAATTATGAGAATAAACAAGCTATAATGTGAGGCTAACCCTGGTTGCTTGGATGATTGTTAGTATATCGCCTTTTTTGAATGGAAGATCCTCGGCTGATGACCCCTGAAAGTTGTACGAAGCCACTACTTCCTGTCCTGGTCTCCATGCTTCCGTGGGAAGGCCATGCTGTAATGCACACAATACAAAATTTTCAATCAAGCTTAACTGATAGCTACAGCAGGTCTCGAGTGCCAGGATTTTTAATTTACTGTACTTGTATATATAATCCAACAAGAGGCGCAAAGGGCCTGTATCGCTCACCTGGATATTTGAGCAATCATTGGAAAATATACTCAATAAAAGTACTTTTTGCAAATATTTCCATATATTGAGTCTCCTTTACTTAAGAATGTTCCAGACTAAGCAAAACTGTATACTACTCTATCTCAGCATGCTACTGGTCAAATATCATCACACAGGGCTTCCTGGCCATGGTATTGCGGAAGAAGTATTCACATATCTGACTCCTGTGATCGTTAAAGTAGGTGCAGGTTATTTATTTGGGGAAACTTTATAGCCCTCTGTCCCCAGTAGCTACTAGCCAAGTATCATTACTCTGGGCCTCCTGGTTATTATGAAGAAGATGTTTAAACCTTTTTTTTTTTTTTTACATTTTTGCCAGGTGAGCTAACAAATAAAAGAAAACAAAAAAAAAGAAAATCATTAAATTTCCTACAATGCAAGAGTGAAGAGATGTATCAGTAATTCATACGAAATAGAAAGTAAGGATTTTATGCTTAACGCAAATGTTAACAATAAAGTTGCACGTGTAGTTGTGTTTCCAGACACAGCATTGTCATCAATATCAAACTACAAAAGGAAATTTGCTGAAAGCAAACCAAAAATGCAAGTCCTATTAAATAAGGTCCCCCACATGGATATGCTAATACAGTTGTTTTGAATTTCAAGTAACTCTTAAATGTCCTTCACTGCATAATGAATTACATGTCACCATGCTTTAAAATCACAAAGTTTACATGTCTATAATTACACTACAGCTGTATAACAAGGTAAGTGTACAATATATAGAATTCCTATGTTGAATCTTACCTGCTGATTTATCCTTGGATCCATTTTCATATCTGTTCTTTGGGCCGTATCACAGGCAGGGCGGAACCTGACAACAAATAATTACAGTTATCACTCTGCCAGTAAGCATCCCTATCAGATCTCAATGATAAAGATGTACAACAGGCCAGACAACCAATCAACATTATCTATAATTCACGAAAAACCGCCAAAGTCAACACCACATTGATGTGTTTAACATGCTCACTATGTCCAAGTTACAAGTGTATGGTAAACTTGCTTAACATTGGACTTAAAAGTTTGTTTTAAAACTTATTTAAGGTATACATGGTTTAGGGAAGAGCAAGCTCTGTGGTTTCTTCGAATTCCGTGGTGGAATAGTCTGCTCTTCTGCCCCTCGTCTGAATACCCAAAAGTGTGCAGATATAGATACATACAACACATTGCGATTCAATACATAGAACAATATGGCATCACGACCCGTAAGTGGATTTAGTAGTTCCTTATTAGTGAAACTTTATAATGTTCATAGTATGGGATACTCAACACCTCAAGAACAGTTTTGTTTAGCTTCCCTTTTTCTACATGTGCATGTTTCGGTCTGCTGAATGGCAGTCTTCAAGGCTATATATATTTAAGATGTTTTACCAGGAATGTCTATAATAAGTATAAAAGTCCCAGTTGATTTAGTTCTACCCTTTAAACAATACACTAGAGCTCCAAGTCCATGTTCTACATCTGTATCCTGTCACTACAGACACAAACAGTAAGTTAGTATAGTAAGTTAATACAATCATGCATCTCTGTAACAAGACCTAGAGTATAAAGTGTAACACACCAGCTGGCCAGGATTTGAACCTGGACCATATATCTAACCCTTAAAGGAGTCCACTGTGTTTAAAGATATATACTATTGAGCATTTCTGTAATTTGTTAAACTCAATTGATCGATCCAGTCCATGACAGCACACTGTGACTATATAATAGCATACATAGTACAGCTCCTTTTACATATATACATGTATACTGTATACATGAATAAGGGTATACTGCGACAGCTGACTGACCTTTACAGAAGTTATTTATAATATATAAGCAGTTCAATAAATTAGTAATGATTCCTAAATATCAAAAGGGCAGTACATGAAGGCTGAAGCTACACGATACAGAGGATACACAATGAGTGATGATTATGGTCAAAAGATCTGGTTTATTTTCATGTACAAAGTACCGTTTATCAATGTATATAATATGAACTCACTTAAGTATGTAGAACATACTGTATCTATCTATCTATCTATCATAATCAGTTCTGAGAGTTAGAAGTCTGGTCTATCCTGTTACCCACATTTTTCCTATACCAAATGTATGATTGAGCACGGCCACATGCATCAAATATTTCATACAAATGACATTCACCGATATTCAAGGTCAGAGGGGTCAAGTGTCAATATGAATGAACATTGACTGATTTTTGTGGTTAGGTTGTAGGTTCTAAGTTGTCTAGTTGTCTACGTCTGAACCTTTGATCCTGAATAGGTGTCATAGATATATCAATACATACACAAGTACCATTATCTATCCTCCTACCAGGTGGAAAAAGACACTTTGCACCATTTTTTGTGCAAGCATCAGTCTGTTAACACATATGGTTTTGTTACGTTTATATTCTGACACATAAGGTAACTTTTAATTGAATTTTTTGGGAGAACAGCAACTTGTCATCTGATAGGAATAAAATCGAATTCTGTATAAGATGTATAAGTAACTGTAACTCCATAATATTAATGGAAGTGTTGCTGAATAGTATTGGGACATCATGCTATGTGATGTTTTTATGGTGAAATCATTCGAATAAAAAGCTAATGGAAAGATAAAACCTGTACGTGTAGCAGCTATGGGATAGTTAGAGGATATATAATGGTGTCTTCAGTAATAACAAATATATTTTACAAGTGGCTAATATTTTGATGTTTTTTACTAGTGCGCAGTACGAGTAAAAAAATATCAAAATATTAGACACAGGAGTGAAATATATTTGTAATTACTGAAGACACCTTTAAATTTTCTATTTATTACATTTTTAAAGCATAAAACATGAAAAAATGTGATGCATTAAAAAAGGGCGGGAATCAGAAGCATAATAATTAGCTCTACATTTTAATGAAGTCACGCTAATTGACAACAAGGCTGTGCACCAATTTCAATGGGATACTCAACGCAATTCCAACGTTTTCTGCTATTTTCTGGTATGATTGCTTATAAAAATATTATACTTTCAATGGTAAAAATCTCTATTCATCCAGTGTTATTCGCCCTTCACATGTGATTACTATATGGTTTACTTTTTATTTATATTTCCAGTCATTATGAATTTGCCCTCGTTGTGGAGGGGACCAAAAATTCTTGGCATACAGTATTGTATTGTATAATGTACTGCAATACTGTTACGTACTAAGGAAGCCTACACAGAAGCACAAAACACAGTTAGAATATTTTTATGGAATTCTATTTTTTTCAACAAGAAAAATGTTTCAATTTGCATACACATTACTATTTTGTGTATAAATATACAAATCTTTACAGATAAAACAGTGGTTTACATGTAGTCTATGTATAAAAACATTCTACATATACATATTATCATTTTAAAATCTTTTATTCTGACAGAGCTTCAGCACTAGCTTTTGGCATCAAGAATCATTCACGTTGATAAGGGACTGCATGTAAATATCACTTTAATACTTTGAATTGCCAGTATATATATATTAACCAAGATAGACGTTTAAAATTCCGTTCAGTGTATACAATATCATAAAATGCATCATTATTTTGGCTTCAGAACATGCCATCATGATCAGCTTGTAGGTATATTTCATAATACAAAAATTTGGTCACTTTCAAATAAATCCTCTCGTTCTATGGCAAGGAAATTTGCTGTTGAGTGCAGGTTGTATATTATTTTATGATATTAATTATGATGGGGTTTCAAGTGTAACCTATTCACACAAGCACTTCAGCTCGTGATAACTGGTTTCCTGGTTTTACAAATTTAAACATGATTCAGATATATATCTGACAAGGATATTTACTACTCATGCAGCCTTTGCAATGCTATTTCCTCTCTCTCCTTAGTCAGCTACAGGCCGGTAGACATGCACTTCCTCAGTATTAAAACTACACATAGGATCTATAATCCCACTATGTAATGTAACCCACAATATAACAATTCCGTTAGTTTGTGTATACGTATATAGTTTTAACACATTCACAATAGAAACACTTTTTGCTCTGATGCATGTACATATAAAAAAAATAAAAAATAAGAATCATCAATTATTAGTAACCAGTGCAAGTTTTTTTGAGTTTTTTGAGTTTTCAGTTCCTATATTTATATATTAAGTCTATTATGAACCCCAATTGTAAAACTTTGGAATTCAACATGAAACACCACCTTATTGGGATCGAATGCCGTTTTTTAAAAATGTTCATGCCGGTATGAACATTTAAAAACGCCGTTTAATCCCTATATTTATATTTTTAGTAAAGAACAAGTGTTTGAGTTTATTTTTTTTGTTCTGGAATAATTTATTTATTTACAGCGTTTTGCTTATGCGGCGTCCTTTAATGCAGAGCTCACACAGTGCCGATTATGACTCCCGTTTGAGATCAGACAGCACTAAGACACGAAAAGTGAAAAAGTCGGATTACTATCCTCAATGATCTGGAATGTTCTGTCATTTTCCGAACGCAGTCGTATACGAACTGTGCATATAATGTTCGTAACAGAGTCCTACGGATCGGGAAAGGTCCAGACCCGACAGTAAGGTGCGTCCCCTTACATTCGGGAAACTCAGCCGATTTTGTCTACACGGATTACAATCGTGACTATGTCGTGACAGATTCTGCTGTATCGGATCAAAATCGTAACAATGTCCGGTGTTGTTTGGAAGGTGTCCTGTGGATCTGGACGCTGTCGTGATGAACGGGCATGATTTAGAGACATTTTTCATTGCTGTTTCTTGCTGATTGTGTCCAGATCTTGCCGAATGGTATACTGGTACTGTTACTAGTATATGCTCCATCAATTTTGTTTTCCACTTGGCATTCATATTGACTATGATATCAACTGAAACACTTCTTAAGTGCTTAAATATACAGTGTACATGTACTTGTTCAGTACAAGTGTACCAAAAGGATAACATCAGAGGCTGGTTGCCAGGTTGCAACTCTGATTATAATCTGAACATGATGTATGTACAAACATCTTGCTCAGGTGCTTTTTGTATTTCATCAGTACTTTAGATCATTAACTTGCCATGTATGTTAAGAATTCAGCAAAACACAGATGGCGGTTAATTTAATCGAGTTAAAAAGCTACGAAGTATGGAACATGTATTAGCTGTTCCTACTCGCACAAACTTGTCTTTATAATTACCCTTCAAAGTGTGCGAAATGAAAGTGGACTGGCATTATAATCTTCACTTCCATTGGATTTGGTTAGAAATATTCTCTATAGAGAAACAAATTAAAGAAATCAAAGGCTTCAAGTTCAGCAAATACCCAACATGTTGGTTTGCTATGAAACTTCAAATTTACCACATGCGCTAGTACTCCCGATCCCCTAGTATCTAAAGATCTCAAATGACCCAACGTACCTTGACCATCCTCTAAAGTCGCACACAGTAATATTAGACTTGTATAAAGGAAAATGCATGTTGTGACTGTGCATTTAGTAAGTTGCTGAATTATACATGCATGCTTCTCCTAATACCTCTCATACTGTATACGTAGGTTTCATCAATTATATAATCCTAGCTTATTTTCAACAGGCTTTTTTTAATAACTATGCAAATACAGTGTGCAATAATGGCATCATGTCATGATCACAATGTCATTTTTTACATTTACAGTAATACGGCGGGACCAAAATATCCAACTTACAATTATTACGATTTATATTACATTGTGTATTTACAGTTGTGGTTTATATATCCAATAACGTAAGTTACTGTAAAGTATCATTATATAGGCTTAATTACTTACAGGTACTTGCTGCCGAAGTTTGATGGCTAAACATGATATATA